ATTATATATTATCAAATTACTTCCGAAATTAGGAATCAATCATTGAAGCAAACTCGAAATCAAAATTAACTCGTTTGAATAACAAATTTGAGCAGCTCTCGTTTACAACCCTATTCAATAAGGGGAGAATTATACTGATTTTGGAATGAAAACTTTTATAAACATTTTTATTAGTAAAACAAATTACCAAAAAAAGCAAGTTTAGACTCTATATTAAAAATGTATTTTTAACATTGAAATTGCTAAAATATTATTGATAAAAGAGATATTTATTTATAAGATTATAGAAAATTAAGATATTTTGATAATTAAAATGTTATGGTTTCTTTTAAAATTATTTAATTGTTCATAATGAACCAATAAATAATTTTGACAAAAAATTGACATATAAAAAAAATTCATTAACAAATATTCATTAAAAGTATTTTAATAATTTTATTAGAAATTCTAACATTTTAAATATAAAAACATCTCAATTTTTATTTTTTATTAATTAATAATAATTTAATAATTTTTTTAAGTAAAAAGTGTTATATTTTAATTATATGATATATAGATAAAGTAAGATAATGAATAAAAAATAATTATTTTTATTATATAATTAAAATAATATACATATATTTATTTGCAATTAAAATTTTACCAAGCGGCTCAATGGCACCCCGCTCATTAAGCTCAATGAACTGTTCATATGATTTGGAGATCGAATTCTCAATTATTAATATTTAAAAATACTAATTTACTAATCATTGTGATTATAAAAAAAAAAATCTATTTGCAATTGAGGAATGCTAGCTGTACTCGCCTTTCTCCAGCACTCTCTAACACTCTCTCATGTAAGATGTCCACGTAACAAACTTTGGCTCGCAATTCAAAATTTTCAACAAAAAAAAGTTCACGTGGCTATTTTAGATGAAGGAGTGTTGGAGAGTGCTGGAGAAAGGCGAGTGCAGCTAGCATTCCTCTTTGCAATTTGCACTCTAGTAACTAGCTACTCTTTCTTTCTGTTGTCAAATAATAAATGTTTTTATTTTATTTTTAGATTAAGAGTTTGAAAATATTTTTTATTTTAATTTATTTTGTTGTTAAAAAAATAAATTTT